TAGCCAAATTTTGCAGGTACCTTATCTGCGTATTGAAAGATATCTCATCCAGTAAAATCATACTCACACCAGGTAAGTCCCTTCCAACTGAAATAGTCTATTCTGTTCTATTCTGTCATCTTATGATGAAAATAGTCCATTTTGGAGCTCTGTCTGAAATTTTCCAGAAACTTTATAGGTGGATAACTTTCTAAAACATTGCTAATAAATCTTGGACTGTAATACCAATACAAGCTACCCTTTCTGAAGCCAGGTATGTAGATTATAGGTGTGTAGTATTGTTCTGTAGAGCCTTTTGGAAAAGTCCTGCTTACACAACTGTTCCAGAGTCCACTAAATACCAATAAAATTATTGTTGTATTAAGGGGATTCCTTTCCAGAAGGAGCTGGGGTATTGGAAACCGATGATATTTCCTGCTTATCCTTTCCCCTGCGTTATTTTCAGCCATGTGATATTGGAGCTGTACCTGGAAATTAAGAAATCTAAAAAGAGAAGTTAGAGAAAAAGCTTATTTTGTAGGATTATTTGCTTAAGACTTTTGTTTTTCTGACTCAGAAAGCTCCCTGCGGGTTTTAAAATAGTGCAGGCTGGGGACACTGCAGAAAATGTATTTCTGCTATACTTTGTTATAGAAAGCTTAATTCAGTCTCTTGGGGAAAATTCAGAAACAATTTCCCTTGCCTACAAATGTGCCAAAAATTGTATAAATTTGCGAATGATTATTTTTCCCTCTTGGGACATATCTTCACAGTAGACTGTCAGTTTTCACAGAACCTTGTAAGTCTACCCAAAGTACCCTACAGTGAAAAGGATAGGTAGTCGTTAAAAAAAAAATAAAATCAAAAAACAAAATCCCAGCAACGTAGTCATCTGTTCAGCAGAACAGCTTTATATGTTTTATTTACAATACACAACTCTTGCTTTAACAGACTCGGTCTCATCTGTGAAGAGATTTTCAGGGTTCAAGCTTTACACTTAAATATCAGAAGTACTTAAAACAGATGTACTATATTTTCTATTTTTTAAACATGATACAGTCCTATACTCTCCATACATTCCATTCATTCAATAGTATTACCGTTACTGCACATCCAGTATAGCCACGGAATATAAAATAAATTTGCTTTTTGTATTAAATTGAATTCTTTAGAATGAAGCTCAAACAAATGGCTGCAAATCTGAAATGTTTTATCTTGAATAGATAAATGCTTTCTCTTCTACTGTTTTGAATCCACTCTCATAGTTCTCCTGAAGTGTTTCAGGATGGTTTTAATTTCTGTTGCAGTTTAATTTCATTGAGTGAGATTTGCAAAGGGGCAAAGTACTTGCACCACCTTGTCTTGTTCTGCTTTCCAATTCTGTATTTGCCTAGCTTCCACTGTCTTCATTTTCATCAATGTGGTCACTTAATCTAAATATTTAAATTCCAAATTCTACTTGTGTAAGAATTGAATTTTGGAAATATAATGCTAGTTGTGCATATGTTAGCGTTATTTACAAATTTCAGATTTGGGAAAGTAATTAGCTGAAAGACAGCACGTGGAGAAGTTGCCAAAACGTTTGGCTGTTTGCATGCCAGTTTTTCTGAAGGTGGTAGTCATAAATGCAGTCATTCAGCACCTTGAACTCTGGGAAGTTCAGAGGCCACCAGGTGAGTTTGCAAGTGTGCTCTGTCATCCTTGAAAGGCAACAGAGATGACCTAGTGCCTAGTGACTAGGGGAAGCCAAGTGCTGTACCCAACTTCAAAAAAGCCCAAAAATACAATGTGGGAAACTACAGGCCAGTCAGCCTTACTGTGATCTATGGGAAAATCATGGGCCAAGTCATCTTGGAACACGTTTATGGACACATGGAGAGAAGGTGTTACCTGAAAATGCATTTCTGCCTCACTGAAACTTTTGCTTTGTCAGTTGAATGGCACCAAGTCTCCTGTTTTACTGCGTTCAGGAAGCTATTCTATAAGTGCGGCGTACATTATGAATACATCAGTTATCCAGAAGTTAGAGGTAGATGGTAACTGTAGGAGAGCCATTGGAAGTAGCATTTTTATGATGCATACGATAGTTTCATACTGATATGAAAGGTAATCCATGTATTTTGAATTGATTGCAGCTTTGTGCACAGACCAGTGCTTTTTCTAATTTTCTTAGGTAAATCCTTTAAATTACAAAGAGATGGAAGACAGATACCGTCTATAAAGATTTGATTAAAAAAAATAGATTCAGCTAACAAACAAGGCAAAATACTATCTATTAAATAAAATCAGATCTTTTTTGAAAAAAAAAATAAAATCCAAAACAGAAAACCAAAAAAACCGACCCTGTATTGCATCTTGAATGGAAATGTCCCAGGTTGCAGTGTCTATTACCATAGATCATGTGATATTTATCCCTAGAGTCACTCATTGTGCCAGTATCGTAAATTAATAAAACTTCCAACCTGATGTAGCAAAAGCTAATATCTAGAACTGTCTAGTAATAATTCAATCTTCCTGCTTACTTGATTAGCTTCTGTTTGCTCCAGATTTCGTTAGGCAGTTTCTCTCTACAACTCCTCCATAATCAAATAAAATCTTAGTGATTTTTCTTTAAATGCTTAACTGGATTCCAATATCCACTGTTAGGAAAATAAAAATTTGTTTTCAGCCATTTGCTGGTTATAGGCAGAGCCAATAACTTGTTAAAGTTACACACTACCTACTCTTAAACCCTATTTTTTCTTGCATGAATTTACAATTTTATAACACTTTTTCAAAGATGAGTTATGCAAGAATGTCTCAGCAATTTTTTTTTTTCTTTTTTAAAATTTCCCTGGTAAAGACACCTGCAGGTTGTCAAGGGTAAAAACAGCTCTATCAGCAGTGGAGCATCTATTTTCTTTGAGAAAGTAGAAGGTAGCATAGGCAACTGCTTTTAACCTCCAGAGTTGATGGAAGCTCAGCCTGGCTAAAATCAAGATGTTGGCTGAAGCAATCAAAAAAATGATGGATTGGAGACTTTTTGATTTATTATGCCTTTTAGTTATTCAAGTTCACAGTCTAAGTAAATCACAAATTTCTGCTAAACTCAGGGAGCTGCAGCTCCTTGTTTTGTTTAGTTTCTGTGCTTTATGAGCTAGAAATATGAAGTTTTCAAGTCACTTATACTTTCGGTGACATCCAATATAGATTAGTCTTACTTTGCTGAGTAAACAATGTCTATATAAGCTATGTAAAATTCACACTCATGTTCTGAAGATAATAGTGCTCTGCTTTTAGTTTCCAGATGAAGTACGAATACTTGCTGTTCAGAATGAATCATTTTACAACTTAGCAATTGAGCAATTGTGTTGTCTTCATGCCTCACCATGATGTTTCATAACTTTGGTATCCTTTAACCAATGACGTACAGAAATAATCTTACTAAGAGTACAGAAATGAAGAAGAAATCGACCAAGACTTAGATCTTGCTATGCCATGTTGGATTAACAGAGTATTGTGTGACCTTTACTTCAAAGAACCTATAGTCTAAATGAGTAAAAGCAGACATGGACTTAGAAAGTGTTATGAAGCACAGCAGAAGACAAGAAAAATGGGAAGCCCAAGTGTCATTGACATGGCCATTATCATGTTATGGGTGTAGTTGTTGGGAGTTCAGTTTAAATTCAAAAGAAGGGGCTGGAGAGGTGGCTGAGGGAGTCCAGGGCAGTGAAAGGAGTGAGCGCTGCCGAGGGTAAAAGTAAGCAGAGAAAAGCAAATGTGGATGAGGAGGGAAGGCTGGAGGAAACAGTCGGTGCGTAACAGATACGATCCAGTCAACCCCAAGCATTTTCAGTGTGCAAACTGGTTTGGTTGCTCTTTACAGCTATCCTTGCTGCCTGGCGTCCATCCTGTTCCTCTTCCAGCAGTGCGCTGGGGAGGGGTAGGGTATCGTTGGGGTGCCTGTACCCCAAGGATGCGAGGGGCTCCCCAGCCAAGTCCTGAGCCCCGTCCCCTCTGCCAGACCTCACGTTCCCCTCCTTGTCAAGCACAGAAGTCCCCGATTTAGCTCTTCCTGCAACTCCTCCAACCATCTGGAGTCCATGCCTCCTTCAGAGCAGCAGGACTAAAGTAGAAATCTAAGAATGGGGTGTATTTGCATCAGTTCAGTCTACTGTTGTCTTCTTTTTTTTGAATTTTAAGTAAGATTTGTACATCTGTGTATCTTCAGGAAAATATTGTAAATAAAATTGAATGTTTAATATTTTATGCCATTCTGAAATAACTTTTAAAAAACTTGTTAGAAGCTTTAAAATATTTTGGTTCTTTTAAGCTTTCACACTGGAAAAATCTAAATTTTGAAATGCATGACTTGTGGAGGCGGGAAGAGGCTGAATATATAAATGATGGTGTATCTTTTCCCCTTTTGAAAGAGCCAAAGCACACTGCATTTTTAATGTTGATAACTCCCCATTAGAAACTTTAAATGCTCCTAAATGACTTTAACTTGCTGAAGGACTACATTCTTCTTTCAGATGTGTTAGAATTCATATTAGCACTAGTTTGCCCTTGTTTCTGAATTATTTTAATGACGGCAGCCGCTCCACCAAGCTGTCTGTCAAGATGTGGGTGGCAGGCTATTATTTCACTTCATAAATCATAATTTACAGGGTTTTTTATATCCATCTTGGGGATAAACACTTTATGCTTTGTGTTTTCAGCAGCAATATAAAATGTAATTGATACTTAAAGCAATATGTTAGAAATATGGACATAGAAAGCCAGGAGAGAAAAATCACAAATGTTTAGTTTTTCTGTGGGTTGGTCTACATACTGAGCATTTTTTCCATCTGATTTCATATTCTTAGCACTTCAACAGAGGATGATGATGAATTACACGTACATGATTGCTGCCTATAGGTTACTATAAGGATGTTTCTTTAGTTACAGACACTCAACAGATCAGTTAGCTCAACAGGGTCATTTTGTACCGTTTCTCATGCTGCTAAATAACCTTATTGTTTTGTGCTATTGTCTTCCAGATTCATGAAAAACTGCATTATTATGAAAAACAGAACCCGGTGCCCATACTCCACGGTGCGGCAGCCTTGGCAGATGATGTAAGTGTCCCCTGCTGAGATCACTGGTACCAAGTCTCCCAAAAAACTGTCTGCAAGCAGAACTCCTCATAGTGCAAACATATGAATGTAATCCTCTGAGCTGAAATCATAAGAAGCTGCAAATGTTTCCAAAGGTGCTGTCATCACTGGGCTTGTTGCTGATATTACTTTGATTTTTATTCACTTGCCTGTTATAAAAACATTGCATCTAGATAGCCTCTTGTTCTGCTTTAGTAACTACGTAATAGAAATTACAGGTTGGAACTCTACTGGGAGGGGAAAAGCTGTCAACTATTAGTGTTTTGAGAAAGTCACAGACAAGGGGAATGCTTTGGAAAAATAAAGACAAATGAGATAGCAGCACTGCTGACAGAACATGAAAAATGACAGATAATACTACAGAAATGAAGCATATGAAATGCCTAGGAAGGAGGCTTGTTTAAAAAAAAACACAGCAAAAAACTATTTAAGAAAAAGTACAGTGGTGATTTATTGATATTGGAGCTTTCCAAATTACCTTCATAACCAAAAAATAAATTGTAGAAGTGGTCGGCATTGATGGAGTAGTTAATTTCCTGTTACTATAATTTTTATTTTAAAGAAAAAAATCCAACCTGCCATTTCTTGCTATTTGGTTAATTCTAGGATTCTGATGAATTGTGCACACACCTGTATAAACTATGACTGAACCTGAGGTGGGCCAGGATAGAGAAATGTTTAATAAACTGTGGTTTAGGTGAAATCCAGAAATCTTTGTTGCAATTGATGATCTCAGGTTGTTTTTTGGAAAAGGCAATATGTATCAGGATCCATTTCAAATACGGCATGTACTTTATAGATGTTTTAAAATCTTAACTATCTTTTTATATAATTAATAGCTTTTGATTTTTAAATTTTACAAATGTTTAGAAGTTATGAATTGAGAATTATAACATTTTAACAAAAAACGAAATTAAACATATTTGAAGTCTATTGAAAAAAGGATATAATGTAATTTTATCATGTTTCAGTAGGAGAGCTATATCCTGTAACATACCAAATATAATAATGCATTAGCTTTGACATCAGCCATATATTAGTAATATTTTTTTAACCTTCAAGTAGCTTTGAATAATGTTGATAGTAATTTTGAAAATTAGAAAGCTGGTTGAAATTCTCTTCATTAAGTTCTTGGTGACATATTAATAATCCTTGTTAACATTTGTGTTATGGATCGCCAGGCTAAAATTCTTAATAAGAATCATTTCTTATTTTTGGATGCGAAACTTAGTTCTTGATATTTTCAGAAATGCTGAGCAATCTCATTCTTTGTTCAGCCCCATTTAAAACTTAGAGTTTTGGAAATCCCCAAATTAAAGTACTCTGTCACTCTTCAGCTGAAGAGAGGTCAGGGTTTTTAACCCTATGTATTACTATGTATATGTGGTAGGATTTTTAAAATGTACATATCTTGGGACATGAATATCTCTAGACATCTGCCTACTTTTTAGGCACAGCTTCTTTTTAAATATCCTTTTGCTGGTTTTTCATTTTTGCTTATGCGTAGCTGAACAGCTGGTTTTATGGACACTGTCCCATAGAATGAGGATGTCCTTTGGCAGCTGAAGTCAGACTAGCACGCTGCAGGAGTTTCTGTGTTTCAACAGTTATCAGCAAACTTTGAGGAAGTAAATTTACATCCAGTGGGTTTTGTAACTTAATATTTCCTGTTTGATCTAAAATGCAAATTTGAGGTGCTGCTAATGTAACTAAAAACTGTTTAAAGTAGTGGTTTTATTCTTGTGTTATTTTTTTAAAGCAATTTCAGAGGTAACAATTGTAGTGAGGCTTCTTTTCTAAACATTTTCTTATTTCTAGCTGCCATACCTTCGCTCTCCTCACTGCCAGTGACTTTTAGACTGAATTTCCCATCAGAGATGCTGTTTGCCTCTTATTTTGGAGCAGCAGTGTCTGACGTAGGACTTTTGATTTCATGTAAAGGATCTAAACATTGCTGGTGGTATAGGTATATACTGCAAATAAGGCCTCTAGTTTATTAGAAAGACTATTCTGGCAAAAGAAGTTTCAGAACTTTCTCCAGAGGCTTTAAACCCCCAGACCCCTGTGCTGCTCATCTCGCCAGCCTCAATCTACATCGGCCCCTCTCCCTTGCCTTTTTTTTCCCCTCTCTATAGTGGCGGCTCTTCGTAAAGAGCTTGGTGAAATGTTACGGTTCCCTCAACAAAGAATTATAGAAGAGGTTCTCTGGCAGCTTTTCCTGCAGTTTTTGGCATAGGAAGTGATTGGCATGGTGTCACTGTGCTTAAAGTATTCCATGTAGTTTGTGCTGATGCTGGTAGCCTTCACAAATCCCGGCACTTCAACAACAACAACAAATAAAAATCCAGTCCAAAACTGCTAGCAGCACAACAAGCAGCTCTAGTGATATCTGTTCACTAATCTGGAAACATGGCTTTGTCTTCTTCCTTCTCTATCAATCTTTGTCTTCCTTCTCCTCTTCTACCACAGGGTGTTACATGTACCTTTAAGACTTTTATGGAAATACTTGGAAAACCTTGTAAATTATATGAGTGAAAACAAATTTTTGATTATTTGATCTCTGAAAAATATTTTTTAAATTATGGGATTAAAAAGCCTATTAAGGCAATAATATTCTTTCTGTTTCTCACAGTTCTAAACCTTATGTACCCATATTTATATTTGCACCACCAAAGCAAACGCCAATTCTACTGAAGTTGATAAATGCTTGTGCACAATTCATCTGAGAGAAATGCTGAAGCAGTCATTCTTACTGAGTGATTACAAGTCTTCATCAATGAAACATGAATGAATAGATTTTATTCTCTAGTGATGAGTAGTACAAGCTAAAGAATGAAAAGAGAACTAAGGGGAACCTGCGTCATATACCTGCTGTCATTCCTATCACAGATTATTTTCAGCTTTGCAGAGCTTTTCCATAGAACATGCAGACTAGATTGCAGTCAGATTACCTCAATACTTGGCTTTATGTGCCTAAAATATTTCATTCTGACCTTACCTACAGAGATAATTTTCTAATCTTTCGGTATTAAGACACAAATATTGTTAAGATTAGCATTGATGTCTTTGATGGACATTTTTATCTATGAATTACAGTTAAAAGGCTGTGGGACTGTAGGTGATGTATTTTTGTTTCAGTCCTGTTAACCCTGTATTATTTGAAAGTTAAAAAGAAGTAGTCAAACCATGTCTGATGTCTATAATTGCTTCTAGAATTATCTATTATATATAATTATGCAAAATATACTTATATCCATTTATCTTGAAAATTTATACAAAATGAAAGTACAAATTTAAAACAAGGCTAGATGAATAAAATTACTTGCTGCAAATAACCAATCTTTCTTTGAGACATTTTTATGATACTGATTTAATGCAAAGAAAATAAGTGATTATCTGAAATCACGTTTTGGATTATGAGCCATGTAGCTTCAGGATTTAAACTAAAGTTCAGTGCTGTGAAATATGTTTTAGCTTTTCCTTCTTCTGGAAAAATAGTTTGAGTCTGAAATCCTGCAGTAAAATATGCCTCTTGAGTCCAAATTAGTTGAGAATGTCATGATAAGAAAAGCTCAAGACATGAAGCCAAATAGCCATGGGATTAAATGTTAGACTGCTGCTCTGTTGTTCACCAAACCACAATTTTGTAGTATAACCAAACATAAATTACTGATCTTGTTGTTAGGACGTAGTTTGTGCATTTTAGGGGCTTGAATTGCTGATGACCTGTTATAAACTATATTATGATTAACCCGCTTCACATTTAACAAGCTCCCTTCCAGTGTATGTGTAAACATAATAAAAGGTTCAGATTGCTTGCACTGTAGGGGCACTTTGCTTTCTTATCCCGGTCCTAAACAGCACAGCTACTGTGGGTTTTTGGAAGCAGTGTGGATTTCACCACCTCGTTCGAAACTGTATTTTATAGACAGTGTCAAAGTTTGATCCAGTCGTTTTTACAAGCAGTCCTTTGTCTGCACGCAAAGGACCATTCACTAAAATGAAGTGCTGGGATTTGCCCCCATTGCTATAAATCAGAATGTGATCTGGCTGCACCTTTGCCAGAAATGATTACTTGTGTTAAACTGAGCCAAAAGGCCTGGCTTAAATCTAGTCCACTGAGGGCCAGAAAAAGAAGCACGGTGATTGATGGTGTTTTTCTTCATGCTGGCTTCTGTTTGAACACCCTGGAAAGTATTAACCTCGTACAAGATAGATTCTGAGTTGTCACTGATGCACTGGGTAGAACAATGCTTTCTTAATGGTCTTTGTGTCGATTCCATCTCCCACCCAGCTGGCTGAGGAGCTGCAGAGCAAGCCACTGAGCAGCGAGATCAGAGAACTGTTGAAACTCCTCTCAAAACCCAATCTCAAGGTGAGGACGTGTTGCACCTGCAAAGTGCTTTCTGCCTGGGTGTCTGCATCTGCTTCCTCGGGCTGCAGGGGAGGTTTGACTGCTTTAATGAATATGTGTGCTTTTAAGAAGGGATGCCATGTTAATAGGAAATACCTGTTATGAAGTAACACATTTAATGTTGCCCGTAAATTATTATGCGTGTTACTGATATTTATAAAAGGAATTCAGTGGAAAGCCATCGTTTATTTACAATGGATATTCCAAAAAGTGGATACTTGATTTTTTTGGGGGTCTTTTGCTAACTTTTATTGTATGCGTGTCATAAATTTATTCAAAATGTGGTTTTACTAAAAGGTTTTCAGTTACGCCATTGTTTTAATTGCACTGTGCATAAGTAACACAACTTGGTACTTGGAACAAAATTCCTGATGGCTATTATTTTTTTAAAAAATCTAATTTTGAAAACTCCTGGGGTTCTCTGTGGTGCTTTTGGGGAACTTGATACCTTTTATTTGACAGTAGACTATAGAATCGTTGAATCGCTCAGGTTGGAAGGAGATTGTCTCGTCCAAAGTGCTGCTCAAAGCAGGTCAACACTGAGTTCAGAGCAGGTTGCTCAGAGTTTTCTCCCATCAGGTCTTGAAAATGCCCAGGAACAGACATTCCACAAGCGCTCTGTGCAGCCTCTTCATTCCTAATTATCCTCCTAGTAAAAACTGTTTCCTTATATCCAGTCAGAACCTCCCCTATATCATTGTTAATGCGCACTGTCACATTATTTTTCCATTCTAAAGAGAAGGAAGACCTTAGTGCTCTAGATGCATATTGCAATGGTAATTAAATGCAGCAGCCGGTAAGTTTAGAGGAAAACTGTAGGGTGGAAAGGAGCCCTTTTTATCACAGTTGCTTCTTTATCTTCCCTATAAAACACTGATCTCAAAACTTGAGACACTACAATATCTTCAGAGTGCTACAAAATTTTGAAGATCAATTATGCCTCCATTTTAAAGGTTTTTGCGCAGTTGGTTATTCCATAGTTTGCAAAGTGACAAGCTGTTTTTCTCTGAAGGGGTAAGCAATGCCAATGGCGTATTACAAGAGGAACTGTTGGTGCATCAGATTGCAGAGATCCTAAGCTTCACTGTAGGTATTTCCTTAGTGACTGTCCACATGTGTTTCGTACTTCTGAAGCTTTAGTGGATTGAGTCTGAAGACAGCTCATTTGCCACAACTGCATCTCTCCCTATCCCTTTCTTGCTTTCCCTTTCTCTCTCCCCGCCTTGCTGTCTTGCTCCCCCTCCCTCGCTCGCTTCCTCTCTCTCATTCACTCACTCTCGCTGTCTGTTCCTTGGAAGCGGTTAAATGCAATGTGATAATCTTAGTGGGATTTCAGGGAAACAAGTGCCTTACCCTCAGCATGCTTAATATGGTTGAACAACTGCAGTAACTTAGAAAATGTCGTTCTTGGCTGCAGGGGGAGATGGCCAGCTGCAGGGTACCGAGCCCTTTGCACGGCCAGACTGCCTAATCTGGCACAAGGCACACGTTTCCCTGCTGGCAGGTGTTAGTGTGAGTTAGGGGAAAGAACTGACAGTATGCGTGATATTTTTGCCTATCTGTTATCTTTTCCATTTGCCATCTTATGGCAGACGTGCCTGGGAGAGATGGTAAATGATCACTGCTCCCTCCTCTGTCATGTTGACCAGGTGAAGGTACTGCATTCAGTCGGAGGCTGTTTAGTTGAGATTCTTCTATTGACTTCCCCTGCTCTCACTTGGGAAGGAAAGGAAGGAAGTTGCTGGGACTCTGTATTTCCAGTTCTTCCCCAGAGGGGCCCTCGAGTCTGTTCAGCTGTATCTGAGCTCATGCTGTACATTGCATAAGATTTTCTAGCCCTTCACTAGTAGGTGGATAGCTGGAGAGGGTTTCATTGTTTCTTTCCTTCTGGATTCCTGGGGCAAAATGATGTCTAGAACAGCTCTTTCCCACACATCCAAAATTACTGATCTGTCTTTTCCAATGATGTTGCATAGGCTTTATCTAAAAACTTGTATATGGCTTAATTTGGGATTGACTTAATCTGGCTATATGTTATTCTGCAGGGGAAACTTTCCTCTTCTGACCTGGCTTATGACTGCAGTGTTAGCTGGAGCCAGCAGGAGAGCTTCCACTTTCCTACAGCTCTGCTCTAAGGTTCAGGGCATGATGAAGGATGGTTAGGATTAGGTTACTGCACTACCTCACGGCTTCCACAAGTCTGGTGGTGTAAAGGGACAGGTCTAGCAAGGTGATTATAACTTCACAGGTTTTGTTAACGTGCCAAAAACGGCTCGGAGATGTTTCCAGCAGCTGTCTGATTAGATGAATATTTCTATATTTCCATTTTGTGTTATAAAATTGTTTTGTTGAATATATTTGTTTGCATCTGATGAGTAAAGCTTTGACAAGTTTGTGGTGTTCATGGTTTACATACATAGAGAAATGTTTTAAAGAAGAAAATAATTTCTCTGAGACAGTTACACTTATTAGACCTGAGATTTTCAAAATACCCTAAAAGTCATTCCAAAGTTTTGTCAGGTGCATTTTCTTTAGGAAAAAAATAAATTGGGTATTTCTAGTGTTTAAAAAACTGGTTGCAATATCCAGTTACACTGAGTGGATTTTTTGTCTTGCTCTAAAATGTGACGTCCTTTACTGTAATTAAACGAACTAATAATGGTTGTGGTTTATCTTTACTGATTAAAACAGAACTCTGGAAGTGAACAGAGCACGTAGCTCTGGGAAATCAAGTGGATTTGTTTATCTGTGTGAGAGACATTGCATTTGAGTTCTAGACTTATAATTAGAGTCCCATGGACGAAGGCCAGCCACATCTATTGTTTTTCATTTCCAATGTTGAATAAAGATGAAGAGTTTACGTTCTGTAATCTTGCTATACCTTGTTAAAAATATCAACAAGTAGAACAATATTTCCCTACCTTAGAACCTAAATCCAGTTGAATGTATTGTTTGATTTTTAAGCAGACCTGAAATTAGCTCTTTGAAATGCATCTTGGTATCTCTTATTCAGAAAGCATAAGTACAGCAATGTATATCTTCAGCTTTTTTCTGTCATAACCACACGTGTGCAATCAAACATGTGCAATCAGTTGAGGAAGATAACTGTTAATAAATGCTTACACTTCCAGGGTATACATATGCAAGTTTATATACATATGCCAAGTTGGTTGTTAAAAAACAGCTGAAGACTTTAACATGTCAAAGTTAGAACAATGATAAATGACCAGAACTAGATGTAGTGACTATTGCTGTGCTTGGGTTTCTTAAAGCTATGAGGTATGTGGGGATTTTGATTGGTTGGATTTATTCAGTTGCAATAAAATATATACCTTAAAGATACCATAAAGATATAAACCATATTGAGATATATAAATTCATGGTCAGGCCAGGCCAGCCTGTGGACATTGCTGCGTGGCTCTAGTCCGAATGGCGTTTGGACCTAAGCAAGAACATGCTTGGGAGATTTCAAACCCTGGCAGATCAGGCTTGGATCTGCCAGTTGTAGCTCTCTGTGTATATATTTTAGATTTTTGAAAGTGAAATATCTATCTTCTACTGCTGTCTGTCTTTCCTGGGTATTGTAGCAGCAGCCCTCACCGACCATTCCTGTGTGTCAATGGGACAGGCAGTGGAAAGCCTGTGCGGTGGCAGCATCTTCCCCTCTCCTGCTCAGGTCTCACAAGGCAGAGAAGAGCTCCGCATGCCTGTACAAAACTTGTTGAGCACAGACCCTGCATGCTGGCCTTTATTCTCACAGATGTTTAGACTTTTTTGTAACCCTTTCTATTTGTTCAGTGTGGGAGCTGGTGCTTTAAATTAATCGCTTATTAATCTGTGTAGTGCTGCCATCGATTCCGTTGTAAGCGTTGGGTAGTGTGGTATGTCTGTTACAACCTCACAAGAATGAGGAACGGCGGGGGGACCGTGTTGCTATATGGAAAGTTTTATTCTGTAGAATTTAGGCTAAGGAGCTGCACTTTAAGGTGGTAATTCCTGGCCTGTGTGGAGGGGATCCTGCACCCACTCCTGGGTTTTTCCTCGGTTCCTGGAGTGACTTTATAATTCCTGAGGTGTAACCATGAATGAGATTATTTTTAACCCTATTTCAAGTTTATTTTGTTTATTTTATGAAGGAAGCATTTAGAAGATGGTTTGCATTTTCATGATTTGGGATTTACATTCCAATTTTGTTGATGGATAGGGCGTTTACGTTGAAGTTATATGATTTTATACATGTTTGAGTGAAACGATGAGGAACTTATGTAATATACTGGTTTCTGTGTGTAAAAGAAAGGAAGAATGCCCCTTAGCTTTCTTGTCTAATGACAACATTAAAGTTAGTTAATATATGTTGTAAAGACACAACATATGAAGCTTGACCTAACACCAAACCTCTCTTACAAGAGGCTTCATTGTTTTTATATTTTCTATAGTATGAAGACTAGAACATATAGTGGGGATATACCTGAGGAAATGATGTTTTTGTTTTAAGAGAAGACACTTTTATGTGTGCTTTTGTAAAAAAAAAATTAATAATAGCATAAAGAAATAAGTATTCTCAGTTTTAATGGTTTATAATTTGGAGAAATTTAAGGAACTTATGTAACAGCAAACGGAATGTATGTGAAGAGGGGAATTGTACAGAATTCTGAAAATAATGACAGATTTTAAAAATTATGATGCATCAGGGTAGGCATCAGTACAATTGAGAGAGATGTCTTTATAGAGTAGTTTGGCTTTTTTTATTAATCTGGAAGTATTGCTATTGTCTGAGAGCAGTATACTTTTTTTAAAAAAAAAAAAAATTAGCTACATTATCTAAAAGCAAAATATTTTTCATTGTTATGCAATTGTATGAACCGGAATATGTAATTGGAAGATTAAGATTTAAGATCTTAACACAAAATATATCTAAAAGGGAATTTAATTCTGGATTTTTAAAGCACGTCGCAATCAAG